GCTTCATCAACAAAACCAGAATCAGCCCAGTCAGTGCTTTATAAAGCTTTATTGCAAGATGTGTTTACATAATGCTGTAGAGGTGAGCTTTTTAACTACTTATATCAAGAAATTTTGGACACAGGTCTGTGGTCAGTTTTCCATATTGACCCTGCATGGCACAGGAAAAAAAACAAGGAAAAAAAAAAAGGGGGGAGAAAAAAAGTGTGATTGCATCTTTCCAGACAGTAAAGTGGGGAGAGTGGGGGGAGAAGAGGCAGTGAGGGGTGCATTGGAAAGAAACATGCACCACTGCCACTCCTCATTTACACTAAGTGTGACAAAGCCTCTGAAGGATCAATGCAAACGGTAGGTGAGCTTTGTGTGTAATAAAACCTTAAAGAGTAATTCAAGTTCTTATGAAATAAAACTGTGGAACAAAAAATGCAGTTTCATGGACAATTAAATTTAACATAAAACAAATTCACCTAAAATGAGAAAACGACAAAAAAACCCCAAAAACTCAACCAAAGGACCTGTTGATAATATCTCTGACCATGCATGGCTTGTTTTTTAAATTACAATTCACAGAATAACACTGCTGGAAAGCCTATTTTACACTATGCTACACAGAACATGAAAAAACCATGAGTAGTGACATTTACACAATTTTACAGTATTTCTCCTTCGTCTAAGAAACACGTCCTTTTCTACTTTACATTTTTTTACAATTCCCAGCTCACAAAAAAGGACACTATACGCGCAAAGACAGTCTTTAAAAAGGAGAAATGCTCCCAATGCTACAAATAAACCTTTTCTTTCACAGAAGCCTCTGTATTAGATAGTGATTAAACAAAATATATCTCTATCTGCCACTCAATGTGAAATGGACTAATTAGAAATAATTTTAATAGGGTTTTTTTTGCGTAAACATAAAACTATACAACATCTCTGAAACTCCTTGCATCATACTCCTTGCTATGTAACTATTAAACCGCTTGCCAAAAACTTCTTGGGATTGCCTCTGACATGTCAATTGAGCCAGTTGCTGCCCCCATTGAAAAGAAGGAAGGTAGGCCTTACATCTTGGTCATGTGTTTGCAAATGACTTCCAATAGTTCCCTACAACAAAACATTTTTCTCTTTCAAAAATGCTTCAGTTTATTTTCTTTCAGAGCCTGTAAGTACCTGGCAGTTTTCCCTGCAGAGGAACATTGACAGTCATAGTCCTTGCAGCTTATGCAAGTGTTTCTTGTATCCCAGCGCTGGAAACACAAAGCCATCATCCAAACATGGTACAGGGTTAGGCTTTGCCTATGCACTCACATACAACCCGCCGTGAAGATGAGAGGAGTGGTACATGTGTAGTGAGCATAGAGCAGTGAAAAACAGAGGAATATGCTTGTGCTTCTGTCGGACATCATGTCCCTGTATATCCGTTAGATAAAGGCAGGCAGCGTGTATGCCTGCTTACGAGTCGTAGCGGGAGGATCAAGGATGTGAAACTGGTAGGCTGCCACCCTGTCCCCATCTCATCTCAATGAAATCAAAGCATTGTAAAAACAATACCCACACAGTATTGTGTGGTACATACAGAGCATAGCACACTGGGGATTTAAGTTGTCATCCTGCCACATTATCTAGTGCCTTGAGGGGGAATGGTGCACCCTTATCTAGATAGTCATACGGCTTTCTATTAAGCTAAAGCCAAAGTCTTGTCTATCTATAAAACTGATGCCTTATTTTGCTGACAGTCAATGACTGCAGAGATTTACAATAAAAGGGGGTCAAAAGAGAAAAAGAAATGTATTTTGAAAACTGTTTTTGATGCTGTTTCCAGTATTTATTGGAGCAAGGAAGACCCTCCTTAAAACAACATTTTTTGTTGATTTTGGATTATGGACAGGTAACTATCAAACAGAAGGGTCACATGCAGCAGCCAACGGGCTATGAAACATCTGGAATTCATAAGCCTGGTGCCTGGCCTTACTGAAAGGTGAAGAGTGATGAATGTAACTTTTGTGAGGGATCTTTCACTCTCGATTGTGGCACACAGCATTCCCTGGGGGTGTTTCTTCACCGCAGCCACGTAACTGCTACTGAAAGTTATCCCTCAGCTGGGAACAAGGGAATACAAAGTATTTGTATGTAGTCTGCTTTTAAAAACCAAGGGAGATGAAAGGAAATTAGGATAGCTTCCCTTTGGCGGCCATTTCATACGCTAAAGTTTACCTCAGCATCCAAATCAGGAAGGCATTGTGGTGGCAGGTGGACAGCCAAGTTATTGGCAGCAGATGGGTGTTGAAACGAACACCAGCAGCAACTCTGAGAGCTGGGTGGAGGTACAAAACTCTGGGCACTATATTTGCAGCTGACTGGTACTAAGACAAAGAGAAGGGAGGTAGTTATTATGGCTGCATGTATTTAAAAACAGCCTTCATGGAACTATAAATGAGAAATGGGAACATGTGTTAATACATCCTGTTTCCAAGACTTTTATATTTGTCACTAAACCAATCCGTATCTCACACACATTTAAAAACAACTATTACCTCCTTATGGTGGGCTCTTTTGATGATGTAGAGGCCGGCAGCAACTCAAAACTTGAAGGTTACAACTTGGTTAGACAGACAGAGGCATGCAAATACAACCAATCCTTCCATTTCATCTGGAATCCGCTAGTTAGGTGAAGGGGAACAAATGTTCCCACAGGTAGGACATGCTGGCAAACTCCGGAGGAAATACCACCTTACAAATCAGCACATTGGGCCACTGGCCATTTTTATCAGGAACCCAAATGGAAATCTTTCCTGTAGCTATTGCAAAGTTACTGTGTTTGATGATCTGGTTGCAATAAACACTGAGGACAGTGGAATTAATCTGAGCTGTACATTGCTGCATAAACTAGACCAAGTTATTCTTCAGGAAAATGGGTACTGGTTTCACAGATAGAGAGCAGCAACAGAAAACCAAACATAAGGAAAAAATAGACAAAGAAGAATATGCTTCAGATGTACAACACTTGCATCCAGAGAATATGAAAGAAACCAGCTGGTTTTTTTTTTCCTGAACTTACTCTAACCCCATTCCCCAAATTTCATTTTTTCCTCCATAAGGAGCATAAGCAGTTTTGCACAATTTTTGTACAATTCTTGGAAATACATGTGCCCAACTGTTAGCAATTCATCAGCTATGTTATAGGTTATATTTCAAACAGATACTGTACTAATGAAATACAAATTTGCTTCCCGTTAGCAAGTAGTCACCAAGAGCCACCTACTTTGCACATTCAGCATATTTTAAAATATTCAGTTTTAAAAATGTGTTTGATTTTCTTTCTCCAGTCAAATATAGGACCTCTGTCAGCATAGATGTGCTTTGTTGCCTTTTTGCTTCTTTTATCATTTATCAAGTATCACAGATTAACATAACCATTACATTCAGGGTGTCTACCTGTTATTTCAGACTTCAAAGACCTCCACAAACCCCCATTACCTTCATTTCTTTGTTCTAAGCACTCTCTCTCTTAAGAAAGATTTAAAAAGTCCATAGTGGTGAGCAGCACATAAAAATCCACTTTAAAATCCAGATGCTCGTAGGTCTTACTTATTTTACAGTGATATTAATTATATGCCACTTCTTTCTGTATCTTAACCAGCTTCCTCCTTTCCATAGCTTTCAAATACACAACACATTTTATTAATTACACAACTACTGCCTTCTGCCTACCTGTAAAATTGACTTTTGATCAAGCTGAGGGGAAACCCACAACTCATTGCTGTCCTTAAGAACCTTTACTCATCAGTGACATTTTACCCCATGGACTTCGACACATGAAGATCTGAGGCATCAGCAGATAAAGAATGCAATGTTACAATCAAGAGGATGGACAGCATAGATAGGATGCTCAACCACAGATCTCATTGCAGTGTTTTCAGCTACCTGGTTCTCTCATCACTTGGATGCTGTGATCAATGCGATGTGATGGATGACTGAGGATTCAAAAGTTTATAGTGTTTGGTTTAACTACCCTGAACAACCATCAGTGATTTTCCTCCCTTTAATGAGAGCTCAATAACTTGAAGTACCTGACCTAGCTTGGGTGCCAGAAGAAACACAGCTATGGCATTAGGAGCACAGCCTAGGCTATTAATTAACCCTACTTTTCAAGTATGTTTTGCAGCCAAACTCAAACCCTGTTACCACAACTAAACCGCTGCAGTTCCCCAGTTAACTAGTTTGGAGGAAGCCTCAGCTGTTACTGCAGTGCAGACATACCCTTAATCTTAGAGGCTAAGGCAATGGAAAGAGAATCTTGTGCATCCTTGAGGATCAATTGGCCATATACAGACTTTGGCTTTAAAAGTTCCCTTTTATATTATTGTTGTTTGCAGTTTTCTTCAAAATGCTTCAGCACTGGCTAGAGTGACTGTATCCAATCCACCTTCACTGCTGTATATGCCCCTCCGCATAAAGGCAGATGAGTTGACTAAAAGTTCTTCGAACACACATGCTGAGGGCAGTTATAAAAGTCAGTCATAAAACAGTGAGATAAGGGCAAACATATTGGAGTGTTCACTGTGGTACCCTCTCCACTTGCATCAAAAATAGTCACAGAAATAAAGAACAGCAAAAACACAGCAGGCTTTTAGGAGGGCCATTTCATATTCAGATCCATTAAACTGAAATAAAATCACCACCACAGTATCTTGCAGCAGAGAAAAGCAGCATGAAGGGCACAGGCAAGTGAACAAATCTTCTTGATCTTAGCATCTGAATGCATTTATCAAGCATGTCAAATTGTTGGCATTGATATCTTTGAAACTGTACAAATGCACAGTACAGCCATAGCTCAACAAGAGGGAGGCATACCATGTCCTCTCCTCTGTGTGCATGCTGCTATGTACAGTATGAGTGTGTATTAATACATATGAATTCAGTATCTTAAACTTTCCACTTGTATTACAGGCCATCTCCTGCCCCACGGGGTGAATCCCACTGAATAACACTGAATTCCTATGAAAAGACTTTCTTTTCCTCCTGTCCAGGTGGAACAGTAAGGCCCCAGAGTGAAAATCATGGTCCAGCTAGCTTCAGCAAGAGCATGATATCACACCATGCCTGTATGTGTATAGATACACGCACATATACGTCCACACATTCATTCTGTACATATACAAAGGTACACATACATTTTTACATTCTTTGGTGGCAAAATAATAAAAAACCCAACAAACCACAGGGTTGCACAGACTGTGCATGTTTGCTTAATGAATCCGCTTCAGGAAAATTGGGGTTGCTGTAATAGGACTTATTTTGCCTCTTTAAGGACTGTTTGTTGCATTGACAAAATGCCATACATTTACAATGACTAAAACAGGGAGCAAGGTAAGCCAACGGAAACACAGCTCACATAACGACAGATAACTCGGAGGGAGCCCCCTCCTACCTACACCAACACACCAAGAGAAGAAGCCGCCATATACTTTCACCTTCTTTCACCTTTCACTCAAACGCTTCCTCGGTTACTGTCCGGATGTTGTGCTGAGCTGCGGCACACCCTTCTTCTGCCCCAGCTGTGGGATTTCGCTTCTTGTTGCTTATTAAAATCGAACTAACAGAGGACGGGATGTTGGGAGCAGCAGAGGAGGCTGGCAGGTCAATGCCACACCGAAGAGTTGTCAGCCTGTGTGCTTCAGATGAACGGCTCTTCCCGTCACCACCTCCGGGACGTCAAACCTGCATCTCAGAGGTGCTGATGAGGCCCAGTGCTTTGGCTTCTTCTGGTGTTAGTCCGCTCTTTAGTGTCCTTCTCACTGGATAGTCATAAGTTCCAAAAGCAGGCAAAAAGAACAAAACCAGAAAAAAAAGAAAATTCAAACAATTAGAAGTGATAGTTGCACAAAACTTTCAGATAGAAAAAACCCACCCTGTTAACGTGCAAGCTCAGTCAGATCAAAAGTTGCTATGTACTCAGGGCTTCGAGTTCAGAAACATTGAGTAATGCCTTATGCCAAACCCATGGGAGCATCAAGTACCCAGCAACTCCAGTCAGGCGAAAAGACATTTGTCATTTGACATTTAATCAACCAAAACTTTAAAGAAAAAATACCACAGCATTTTAAGATTTCCTTTTTTCCCTCTGAAATTGTATCAGTTGATTTTCAGTCCATAGGAGGTATCATCTGCCCTATTATTTCACAGTTCCATATTGATTTTTAAAAGAGCTTTTGGTTCTTTATAGGGCTCAATTAAATTTATTACTATTAAATCCTATATGACCCTTTAAAGGTGTAAAAAAACCCTGAACTCTCAAAGTTTAAAGATTTAAAATGTCACTAATTTTATAGTTAATTCAAATCATTAACGCTACTGTCATCATAGATGCTCCCCTTTCTTCTGCATGGTTGTCCTGTCCTAGTCCCATTTACATCATCTTTGTCTGCAGCATTTTAGTTGAATTTAGATGATAAATCTAGTCCAAAATCTTGTTTCTTAATTTTCTGTGAAGTGTTCTGAACACCAGCCCTGACATAAAACCTTTTAAATTTGTGATTGCGTTTTTTATTCAAAGCAGTGACTATGTGACTGCACACACTACGCACTAGTGTCTTCTTCGTTTTACTAGTGCCACGATTTGCAGGTGGATGGGCTTTAGTTCAAGACACAAATGGGGTGTTCACTCCATGTGTTGATGTTCCTCAAGTGCAAAACGCACATTCAGAAGTTTAAGCTGCATGCAAAGCATAAACAATCACTTTATGTTGAACAAAACATATTTGGAGCCCCAAAATAATGAAGTCTAGAGGAAACGCTTCGAGAAATCAGTTGCAAACAATGTTTAAGAACTTCTTGCATCGCTATCATCCAGCACAGTTAAGACCTCCAACTGAAACTGGGTGGTCACACTCAAGGGTCCAGCAGGAGGGAGAGGAGAGAATGGATCAGTATAGAAAATGAGAGTATAAGAGAAAAGGAAAACATGGTGTGGTTGAACATCTGATACCATGCAAGTAGAATGAATGTGATCTATGTTTGATAGTCAAACCACTTTCAACAGTTACTGAGGTTAATCAAATGAGCTGGGAGTGACGTGTAATTGTTCATTAACAAAACCTTTTTCTTCAAGGCTCACTCCTTTCTCCTACAGTATTTGCATACTTATTAAATACCACTCAGAGTCAGCATGGCAGCCTTTTATGATATCCCTTTCTCCTACAACACTGATCAGCCTCATTTTCCAAGTTTAACAATGCTTAGCTTAAAACAGTACAAGGTTAAATGCGACTGATAAACTAAGATTAAGAAAGACTAAAAAAGTACTACTAGAAGGCAAAACACTTCAAAAAATGCTGTGGTCTCCATGGTGCAGAATACCCAACATGAACTTCTGAGTCAGTCCTCATTGCTGACATCCTTTTATATTTCTCAAATTTGACATCCAAACGTCCACGGTGACAAATGTTAATTTCTTGACTTGAGCTACAAAATACCTTAGGGTCTTAAGGTCTCCGTGAATCACCCAACGCTTATCAAAATGAACTATATGAGGAGTGAAAGAACAAATCCAAGAAAGCTGAAATAGAAATATTTCTGTCTTACTAAAAGCAATGATTTTCCTTTGCAGTTCACACACTTAGCTGCCTGCACTGCCTCTCGCCTGAACATGTTTTTCCTGTACCCTCTATAACATGCAGCCAAACATAGCTAGCTTGGCCAGCAAACTGTAGAATCATGTTAAAAAATACCCATATACAAGACCAAATTTTCACAGGATGACTGTCTAGATGACATTACATCTTCCCACTGAAGGAAAAAGTGAACTGCAAAAATGAATGCAGAATAAATTCCCACATTTTAGACACTTCAGCGGAACTGTCAAACTAAACGTATTCATGTCTACTCTTACACATATCCCCAACTCTCTCAGACCACAATCACTCACATTCACACACTAACCGCTGTAAAACAAAGCTGTTTTGCTTGTCAGATAGTAAGACAGGAAGAGTGAGGGAAGAAACAATTTTTATTCCTGTCCATAAGTGTTTAATAGGAACTGGGGTGGTCTGCTAACATTGGTCATGGACTGGAATAAGCAAAATTCTGGTCTTATTTATGACAATGTAAATGTGAAATAACCTTCTTTAGGTCAGTACAATTACTACCGCACAAATAACCGGGCTAAGACTCCAACAACAGAAATGTGTGCCTCTGCAACTTCCACCAAGCAGAATTCAGTTGTTTAAATTCCTCTATCAGCTTCATTGACAGAATTACTAGTTTACTAGGAAAAGCCAAAAGGATTTACAATAACATATAGGTCTCTTTGAAGAAAATTACAGGAGTTTATATTCAGAAGTCATAATCAGGAGTTAAAATATCATGGTAGAAACCATCTTCATGGAAAAACAAGGAGGAAAACAAAGGAGGCTTTACATAAGCAGGATTTCTCTCTGAATCTTCAGATGCCTACCTATCAATCATACAATAGTCTTAGTCTGAGGACCTTGTGTATTAACCCTTGGATGACTGAGAAAGAAAAAAACCTGTATACAGCACATGACAAATGCCCTGTTCTGGGTTTGCTGTACAACTAACGCAGTGAAGGCCAGCCCTGGGTTTGTACTTTTTGTGCCACTGCAAAATAAGCAGGA